GTATCAAGAAAACATTTCTGATTAATATGGATAAGGAAATTGTCCTTGCTAAGAATGCATTCATTTAACAAATGTTTATTGAGGACCTACTATGTACTAGGAGGAAAAATGCTTCCCTCTACCTCTTCATCCCCTTCTTTCTGCCTATTCTATTTCTGTGAGCTTGGTATTATTTATTTTACATTCTTCAGAGTGTCTTACTAGCACAAATTCTTCTTTTCCCTCCCCCTTAATGTACTTGATTTCTGAAGGGTCAATTGCAATTAAAAGGAAGAGGAGTGATGAGAGGGATGGCCTGAGTTTTCACAATGTTCCTTAGCCATATGTCAGGGCTCCATGAGTGCACACCATGCTGGACTGCATTCTGGAGGCCCTCCTTGGCTCTGACTGTATAAGTTAGCTTACATTGTGCTAGCACATCAGCTGCAAGGCAGTTTGTAGAATCTGCCTCCCCAGAGGTCTTCAGAAATAGAAAAAGATGCCAATCTCCATGATGGTTTCAGTGCAGTCCTGATGATTAGAAGGAACAGGTTAGATTTTTCTGTAAAGGTTTCATACAGTCTTGAGTGCTCTTAGATGGATGAGTTTGCTTTTTGGTGCAGGAGGGAGGGATGTAAAGTGACACCCTGTGAACTTACTGGCGTATCACTACACACATCCTGGGTATTTATATTTATATAAATACATATTATTAAATTATATTAATTTAATTTATTAAATACATATTATATTTATTATATTTTATATATACACAATTATATATATAACTTATTATATATATAATTACTTAAATACATATTATATATATATGTATTTATTTTGAGATGGAGTCTTTCTCTGTCACCCAGGCTGGAGTGCAGCGGTGCGATCTCAGCTCACTGCAACCTCTGCCTTCCGGGTTCAAGCAATTCTCCTGCCTCAGCCTCCCAATGAGTTGAAATTATAGAAGCCTGCCACCACACCCAGCTAATTTTTGTATTTTTAGTAGAAACAGGGTTTGCCATATTGGCCAGGCTGGTCTTGAACTCCTGACCTGAAGTGATCTGCCCACCTCAGCCTCCCAAAGTGCTGGGATTACAGTTGTGAGCCACTGCTCCTGGCCCATCCTGGATAAATAGAGAGTAAAACATACTGTTTTCATGCTTTTAATGTTTTTAAAGTACTTAGTTGTGCCATGTGAGGGAGGTAGGGCCTTTCTTTAGGTCCCTATGGCACAGAGGAGTCAGCGAGGCACAGCATCATTTAATTATCAGAGTGGCAGCCTGGCTTACACAGAGCAGAGATGGTGTTCCTGGATGTCTGCTCTCCGAGTGCATGCTCTTTTCTCTTGACCCTATTACTTCTTTGTATTTGTGGTTTTTGCTCTGTTTCATAGAGTTCAGACATTTGATTTGGAGCCATAATATTTTACAGCTATAACAATTTGGGGGACATATTTAGTATAAGTATGTCCCATATAACTTTTATACCAGGCATTCTATATGTTATCTGGCAATCCTGGCCCCAGGGCAACCCTATGTGAGAAACGTATAGGTCCATTTTACATGTGAGGGAACTGAGGCTCAAAGAGGTTAAACAACTTTCCCACGGTAACATCTGAGATGGAACGGCAGGCAGCTGACTCCAAAGCCCCCCCAACATGGCCTTTGCGTGTCTGGGAGATGGAGCTCCAGGTGGAACTGGTTAAGGGGGTGAATCCATTGGCTGGGAGATGTCATGAGTTTGAGACTGTATTGGGAGCACGTGGCACATGGTGGCCATCAAGCAATTTTTAGTCTCTCTCTCCCTTCTTCACCTCCATCAAATTGGAAATTTCCTTGAGACCCTGCACGCAGAGAGTCCTCTACACACACGTTGAATTGCAGCCCTCATAGGAAAGCAGAAGGAAGAAGGATGATGTTGGAGAAGATCCCTGCCATTTGATTTACTACGACAGTCTGAGGCCTCAGACAGCTCAGAGCAAAGAGACCCTGGAATGCAGCCCCAGATCCCTGGAAGAGACTTTATGGGTGCCACATTGGAGAGTGGAGAGTGAGGGAGATTATCTCAAAGAAGAGGAGGAGAGATTATTAGAGACCCTGCAAACTTGAAAATTCAGGATGGGTAGGACTTGGGGAGAAAAAAAAATCTTACCTTTACAATAGCTTCCAGGACCACAAATTTAAGGACTCTCTACTCAGTATTTCCTTGCCTCTTGTCTGTATCACCAAGATAACACACTGCAAACGTGGGAAAGGAGTTAGAACCATGGGAAGAAACGTGATGTGATCAGAACCCATCTCCCCCAACCCCCGCCACCGAGGGCAGGCGCTCAGCAGGGCACCTCTCTCTGAGTTAGCAGCATCAGGAAGCCTGCCCTGGAAGCCACTGGCTGCAGGATGAGGCTACCAGCCTCCACCAGGGACATCTGGAAGCCACTGGCTGCAGGATGAGGCTACCAGCCTCCACCAGGGACATCTGAAAGCCACTCTTGCTGGCTTCTGTGGAGGCCAAGGGCAGCCTTCCTAGCAGGCTGCCACCTCTCTGAAGGCTGTTGGTGCCCATCCTACTCTCAGGGGACCTGGGCAGGAAGCATCAGCTGATTGTGCTCCTGGGTCACTCACGGATGGCCATTTTCATGCCCCAAAATGAATGCGAAGAGAAGAAATCCTAGCCTCTGCCAAGCACTATCATCCAGCCTTGCAGCATGAGTACGTCCAAGGGGCCTGATGAGCAGCACCTGGTCTCCCACTGGCTCAGACACTTGAAGCTACCGAATTTACATGTAATTAAAGACTCGAGTGCAGACCGCGTTTGAAAATAGACACTTGGTTAGAGATAGGACGCCCTCCTCATCAGATGGTTTTGTTTTGCTTTTCCTCTGCATATGGGCCTTACAATTTGCCAAAGGAAAGGTTACAGGGGCCACAGTTTTGTTTGGAGATGAGAAAGCTCAAGAATGACCTAACTACTGTCTTCAAATATGCAGAGACATTTATTACAAGGAGGGAACAGCTGGCTGTTTTCTTCTTAAACTGCAAGAAAAGGCAGCTCAGTTGAAATCCTAAAGACCTTCACACACGGCCCTCCACACTCAGCCCTTCCCCAGAGCACCTTGCACATAGGAAGCACTTCTTGCCATAAAACCCAGGACTGCCTGTCTTTGAGAAGGAAGCTTAGGTCTTGACCATGATTGAGGAAGGAGGCCCCAGTATCTATTTTAGAGAAGTCTAGTAGGTTCTGCCTGGTGACTGGCGGCCAGGACACTGACTTTATGGCAGAGGTGTAATTATTTTAAAAAATTAAGGATCCTCAGTGAGGGAGGCCTTATTCATGTCAGGGCCCTTTGTATGGCTGATAGGTGGGGCGTCAAAGCTCTGGCACAGACGTGGCTGAGCTGAACTCCTCTGAATAATAGAGGTTGGGAACATGGAAGCCTACAGCTGTGAGAAAGTCCAGGAGGAGATGGGAGAAGCTTTTACCCGTCCAGAAGAGGGGGCAGCCGAAGGAAGGAGGAAGGAGGGAAATGGGTGGTCCAGTGTAGGCACAGAAGGTTCCAAACAGGCTGCGCCTGCGCAGGACCACCCACTTCCCTCCTTTCAGCTGCCCCTCCTCTGGACAGGTAAAAGCACTTCCGTGTTTTCAGTGGCATGGAGGGAGCCCGAGAAGAGCAAACATTGACATCACCACCGCTGCCCACAGCAGTGAGACCACGGGCACGGTTTAAAAGGGTCATATCCTGGTACATGATTTCAGACACCCCAGGGAGAGGTGCCTCTACTGCACAGCTCCTGGCCTGGTCTCAGACTAGACCATAAGCTCCCTCATTTTTGTATCCCCAGTGCCAAAAACTATGCCTGGCACTTGAAGGCACTTAATACGTATTTTTGGCTTTGTTGACTAGTTTAATTAACTCATTAGTGATGCAAAGTTCTAACTGCATATTTACAGATATTTATGTATGCACCACATTATGGGTGGTGAGAAGTAGGAATTCAAAGAGAAAAAATCATACTTTCCCTCCCCAAAATGTTTATAAAGCCACCAAGAAGACAAGACATAGACACATCAAATATAAATAAAATATAAAAGGGTGTACCCTGACATGCCAAATACGTGTTCACAGAAACAAAGTTCCTCTTGCCAAACTCCTATGGTCTAAAGCAGTTTTTCCTAAAACATACTCTTCAGAATACCAGTTTCTCAGGGTGTCAATGTGAGGAAAACTTTGATGGTCAGATGAGTTCAGGGCTGGATTAGGCTGATTTCTTTACCAGAGGGTTTCTTGAAGACTTAAAGAAATCTGTATTGAGATATAATTTGTACAGTATAAAATTCACCCACTTTAAGTAAATAATTTGTGGCTTTTAGTATAGAGTTGTGCAGCCATCCCAATATCACTGCAGAACATTTCCATCACCACCCAAAACACCTCATGCTGTTTGTAGCCATTTCCCATCCCCTTCCTTCCTGGCCCCTGAAAACCAATAATTTACCTCCTGCCTCTATAGAGTTGCCTATTCTGGACATTTCACATAGATGGAATCATTTACTGTGTGACCTTCTGAGAACAGCTTCTTTCATTTAACTTAATGTTTTCAAAGTTCATCCACATTATTGCATGTATGCACTGATGGACATTCGGGTTGTTTTCACTTTTTGGCTGTCATAAATAACATTCTTATAAACATTCATGAGCAAGTTTTATTTGACCTATGTTTTCAGTTCTCTTGGGTCTATACAGAGGAGTGGAATTGCTGGGTCATATAGTAATTCTGCATTTAGCTTTCAGAGGAACTGCCAGACTCTTTTCCAAAGCAACTGCATGATTTTACATTTCCACCAGCAATGTACATGAGTTCCAATTTCCCTACACTCTTGCCATCCCTTATTATTGTCTGTCTTTTTTACTACAACCATCCCAGTGGGTGTAAAGTATTATCTATTGTGGTTTTGATTTGTGTTTCCCTAATACTAATTGTTTTGAACATCTTTTCATGGGTTTCACAAATCTTCAAAAGAGGACACAGTGGGCAGCAGTTCCTAAATGCACTGGACCATGGAACCAAACTTGCAAAAGGCAGCTTCTGGAATGCAAGTCCACACCCGAAAACTGGGAAGCATTGGCCTGAAGCCAGCCTGTGCCTGGAAATGTGAGTTTGGTGAATATCCTTAGGTCATTACTTCTGCAAGTTTTGCTCAAAGGAAACAAATCTTAACTCTCCACTGTTTTACCTTTAAAAACAAAACAAATTATTTTTACCCCAAGATATGGCACTTTAGTATGATGAATATTTTGGAGACAAGCAGATGCTGGATGAAGCTTTTCACCTCTCTGCCTAAAGACTGGATCCACCAGAGACAGCAATTGCTTTCCATTCATTCCCTGAAATCCCATACCTGGTTAGACCTTTTCACAAGATAATGTCTGTCTCTCAGGCTCATTCAAATTCCAAAGAGAATCATTTACAACTTAGTTTTTGTCCCCCAGGTCCATTCATTCTCCCTAATACTCATTCATTGCCCCTAAAAAGAATTACCTGCATTCCCCACCTCCTCCCTCTCTTATGAAGAAAGTTAGATAAGTGTCTAGACCCCACTGCGTTATTGAGTAGTTCTTCTGCAATTCCCCCATGCTATGCACTTTAAAATAAATTTGTATGCCTTTTTCTCCTATTAATCTACCTTTTGTCAAATGGTTTTCCAGCAAACCTCAGAGAGTATAGGAGTTTTCCCTTGATCCTTAAAACATAAAACTTTATCAAGGGTGATTTTAGCTAAAACAAAAAGAGAAAAGGAGACAAAAATCTATCTCTTTACACAGCAGGACTTAACTGAGTAAAAAAAAAAAAAAAAAAAGAAAAGAAAAGAAAGAAAAAATGTCTACCTCCTTGAAAAACTTTGAAAATTCTGTAGTTCGACAGGGGAGAGTTGAGGAAGTTGGACCCAATATGTTCCATCTTGTGGCTGCCCATAGCCAAGTGCTGCATGATTGTCCTGATGTCTCTTGCCTCTGAAATGGTATAGCCACAGCCTGAGACATGGAGTGGGTGTCTTGGACATGCTGAGTGGCCTCAGCTTGATTGGAGACTCCAGGTTTGGAGGTGGCTGCACTGGGAACTGGGACACTGAGACATTCTAGTCCCAGCTCTGTTCCAACACATGCAGTAATGAGGCCACCACCACAATCATCATCACCATCATCAGCACCACCACCACCATCATCATGACCACTACCACCACCATTACCATTACCACCACCACCACCACCACCATCACCACCACCACCACCACCATTATCACCACCACCACCACCACCACCACCATTATCACTACCACCACCACCACCACCACTATTATCACCACCACCACCATCATTATCACCACCACCACCACCACCATCACCATTATCACCACCACCACATCACCACCACCATCACCATCATTATCATCACCACCACCACCACAATCACATTATCACCACCACCACCACCATAATCACCACCACCACCACCACCACCATTATCACCACCACCACCACCATCACCATTATCACCACCACCACCACCATAATCACTACCACCACCACCACCATTATCACCACCACCACCACCATCACTATCATCACAACCACCACCACCACCACAATTATCTTCACCACCACCACTGCCACCATCACCATTATCACCACTACCACCACCATCACCATCATCACCACCACCACCATTATCACCACCACCACCATAATCACCACCACCACCACCATTATCACCACCACCACCACCATCACCATTATCACCACCATAATCACCACCACCACCACCACCATTATCACCACCACCACCACCATCACTATCATTACAACCACCACCACCATCATTATCACCATCACCACCACCACCACCACAATTATCTTCACCACCACCACTGCCACCATCACCATTATCACCACTACCACCACCATCACCATCATCACCACCACCACCGTTATCACCACCACCACCACCACCACCACCATGATCACCATCATCATCACCATCACCACCACCACCACCACCGCCACCACCATCATCACCACCACCACCACCATTATCACCACCATCATCACCATCATCACCACCATTGCCACCACCATTATCACCACCACTGCCACCATTATCACCACCACCACCACCATCATCACCATCACCACCACCGCCGCCATCACCATCACTGCCACCACCATCATCACCACCACCACCACCATCACCATTATCACCACCACCACCACCATCACCATTATCACCATCACCATCATCACCACTACCACCACCATCACCATCACCATCATCACCACCACCACCACCATCACCACCATCATCATCATCATCACCACCACCACCATCACCACCATCGTCACCATCATCACTACCACCGCCATCACCATCACCACCACCACCACCACCATAATCAGCACCACCACCACCATTATCACCACCACCACCATGATCACCATCATCACCATCACCACCGCCATCACCATGACTACCACCACTATGATCACCACCATCACCCTTACCACCACCACCATTTATTGAGTTTTCATCTTGTGTCAGGCAAAGCAATCCACATTTACAAATATTATTTAAATGATCTTATGAAATGGGTAGTATAATTATTTTCACTCTTTTCCAGAGTTAAATTGAAGACTAAAATTTCAGATGCTTTTAGTGCTGCACAGTTATCTATGAACAGGGCCTCTTTTAGATTAACGTTGTATCCGCATGTATTAATGTGCTGTATTAGGCAGGCCCACTTAAATCTCTTTTGTCCCCCAGTTGGTGTTTTCTGCCTCCACTGATACAAAATGGCTCTCCCAGGACAGGGATACCCTCAAAGCTCAGCTTCTCACAGGGCCCTTTGCCTCTCTCAGGGGAGCTTGGAGAATGGGGGAATTGGCCCTCATGGGACAGAGTGGAAAAAGGGTCTATCTTGTACTGAAAACAGACACTTATATGACTATATGGGGAATGGGTGCTGTACAATATGCCTGACTCTTGGATTGATTTTTCTAGAACCAAGGAGTAGAGGTGGAGCACCAACCCTATTCCAGCTGGGACTCCAAATTCCTGTCTGTAGGATGGCCTCTGCCCGAGGTCAGAAAGGAGGAGCACCGTAAGGTTCAGGACCATCTTCTGCGCAGCAGCTACCAGGACCAGGAGGCTATTCTATGCTCTGTCCGTCCTCATTGTCTAACCAGAAAGGGCATGCCCAAGCCTACAGCAGAGGCCCACAGCACCTACAGGTTAGAAAGAGATGGGGTCCATGAGGGTCCTATGTCCAGGGACTGAAAACAATCCCATGGCCCCAGAGACAAAATTACAGCTCAAGTCACCATGTTCACAATTCTAACGTCAACACAAGGCTCCTCCAATCACCTCGCTGTAAAATAGGTAAATAGTTGTGGTTGGAGATTAAGTGGCCAAGCATGAGTCCCAGGTAAGGTGATCAACCATCCCAGTTTGCCTGGACAGAGAGGCTTCCCAGGATGCAAGACTTTGGGTTTTATATATATATATATATACACATATATATATATATATATATTTTTTTTTTTTTTTTTTTGAGACGGAGTCTCGCTCTGTCGCCCAGGCTGGAGTGCAGTGGCCAGATCTCAGCTCACTGCAAGCTCCGCCTCCCGGGTTCACGCCATTCTCCTGCCTCAGCCTCCCGAGTAGTTGGGACTACAGGCGCCCGCCACCACGCCCGGCTAGTTTTCTGTATTTTTTAGTAGAGACGGGGTTTCACCGTGTTAGCCAGGATGGTCTCGATCTCCTGACCTCGTGATCCGCCCGTCTCGGCCTCCCAAAGTGCTGGGATTACAGGCTTGAGCCACCGCGCCCGGCCGACTTTGGGTTTTAAAGCCAGGAAAGTCCCAGGCAAGCCAGGCTAAGTTGATCACCCTTGCAGGAACCTAGTTCATTTAAGGGTTCAAGCAACATTATGAATAATCAAAAGGTTTTAAAATCATATGGCCCTATTGGATGTTTATTTTATTTTATTATTTTATTTTTGGTACAAATTCTCACTCTGTTGCCCAGGCTGTAATGCAGTGATGTGATGATAGCTCACTGCAGCCTCAAACTCCTGGACTCAAGCAATTCCCCAGCCTCAGCCTCCCAAGGTGTGGGCGTTACAAGCTTGAGCTAGTTCCTGGCCAGATGCATGCTGTTAATAGGGTGTCAGATTGTTTGTCAATTAAAATATCTGTGGCTGAGATGGGAGCTGCAGCATTAGCCTGTAGGCAAGCCTTCCAATTTAGCCAATCTCTATGACCCTTTCCTCAGTTGTCAGTTTGGTTGGTGATGGGCAAGCCAGCAAGACCTTTGGGTTGCAGGGCTTGTATTAGCTAAACTCACTGGAATGGCACGTGGGCCTCGGCACTTGCCATGTTTAGTTGCAACCATGCCACATCAGGAGGGTTTGAACCTCTGGATTGCAAAACTGTGAAAATAGACCAGTTGTAGCAAGGCCAACAATCAACACAAATGGTGTGTAGCTGCCCTTGACGGGCTTTTGTTGTCCAGTGTTGACATATATTATTACCAAGGTGGGGTTGTCTGGTTTAATCATCTTGGGATATGGTATTAGCTCAGAATGTGATTTTTATTTACTAAGGAGAGTTTTAAAAATCTCTGTTTTTGGTAGTCTACTTGTCTATGGGAAGGGTTCTGGGGAACTAATTAAAATTCCCTAAAGGGAGTTAGAGGGAGAGTCTGGATTAATTATCCATCCTTTACAAAACAAGTATGAAGGAAGGAGTTTTGAGTGGTAGAAATATAAGCTGAAATGGGTCCTGTTCCAGATGGGCAGCTGTCTGACCCATGAGACAATCTGTGGTTAGTGGTTCCCAGAACAGTATGTGCCATCTATCAGGCCTTCAGCCCTTATTAGATGGGGCAGGATAAAAAATCCATAAAGATGGAAGAGACATTTTTAAGGGGCCTCATTATATAATAAGTCCTCAGATACATGGAGGCCTTTAGTGTATACTCCTTTAAACACAGGCAAAGGCAATAGGAAGGCTCTAAAAGTCAGTGTGAGTTGTGAGTTGATCAAGGCGCCTTGAATTAAGAGAGATTAAGACCTGGGGCAAGATAGAGACCCATTTTGGAGTTTATTTTCATTTTGTTTCTGAAAAAAAGAGTCCTTTGAGACATCTGTTAGGCCTTTCCATTAAACTGGCTACCTGGAGCCTATTGTTTAAATGAAGGTTTAATTGAATATCTTTTAAAGACCCTAGCCTTGTGTATTATGAGAGGTGAAATGTGTGTCTTGGTCACTATCAGTAATGTGTGAAATTTAGAAGGGGTGGGCCTTCTGGTGAGGCCTTGTATTGCGGCCTTAGTATATATGAAGACTGTGTGACTTTGATTTATATTTCGGCTGTGAGGCAAGAGAGTCCCAGAGTTTTATCCTGTAGGGGCAACTTCTAGGCAATAGCCCAACAGTTCATAAAAATGTGCAGTTGAGGCCGTTTGCTGACCATCTCATGCTGAGATGACCGCCTGAAGCTTGGCCAGTCGTGCTGGCTCTTGGGTCCCATTAGGCATCCCTTAGGGACATGCTGGCTAAGGGGTGGGAAGCA